TTTCGGTTCAATTGCCTCTGATGTGAGCCATCGTTTTAGCATAGCCAAAGAACCCTATTATTCAGCAAAGGGTAACTTCTTTTCATCGATTTTAATTTTAATTTCTGGCAAAGGTAAACTGGAAATGCCTTCCACTGTTCTTTAGTGAGTTCACTTGTTATTCTCCGCAATTTTATTTGCAAAAACACAGGATAGTTATTCAGCTTAATCAATTTAAAACGTACTTACCGAGAATGTAAATAAAAGCACAAGTAAGCAACAACAAAAGAAGGAAAAAATAGAGTGAACTGAAACAGTATTGGCCATATTAATTTTACTCACTGCAAGTTTACACATCGGCAGTAAAAACAAGCCAAAACAAAAAAAATTGTGTTTTTACTATACTTTTTTGAAAAAAACGATACAAATAACAGAAAAAGGTTAATACAGTGAGGATAATGAAATGAACATGTTACAGAAGTTAAACTTATCAGGTATTCAAGTCATGTTTCACTGTCTGCTACTTTGCCTTTCACATGACATCAATCCTTCACAGGGAGGGCATTCCAAAAGTAGAGCAGCATATGGTGGACGGCCACTCGAAAGTCGTCTACAGTGGTTCGTAGGGCAAGCATCTCCGCCGTGCGGGCGACAGCGTCGGAGAAAGTCTCTGGCGGTGACCAACGCCATTCGGTCCTCACAGCTTTGACGGCCAAATCGACAAGGCAGCACATGTGAGCCACCAGTTGAGAGCACTTCTCGACGAGCTGCATCTAAAGTGTCCGGTCCTCTTGCGCTGAACTGTGGTGGGACACTGGGTAGATGGCATAATGGCTCTCCACCGCAGAGTAAAACGTTCCCCACATCAGCAAGTGATAGTCGATTACTTGGGCGAGCAAAAAACGCCATTCATTCTGGACACGGCAGTCCTTGAAGGCCACTTTGGAGATGAGGACGAGTTGATCTAGAAAAGCCAGGGCTGTTGAAATTGGACAGTTGAAGCTGTAATGCTGAATGACTAGAAAAGCCTGAAGATGGTTGTTGGCTGGTGGAGCAAACTGCTGCTGAAATGGAAGTAGGTTCGTGTTGAAGAACATGTTGCTTTGTGGTGGCGAGTTGGCTGATGTTTGAAAGTGCATTTTGACTGTTGCGATGGAGTTTATACTCGAGTTTAGATTTGTATTCAGTAGCTCGATGGGTGTCTGTTTCTTCTGGAAGAAGGTGAGAGACTGACTGCAAGTGTCCTGCTCTGTCTCTCAGTATGGTGATCACTGGCTTGATGCTGACTAGCTGCCTCCGCTCTTCCCCAAAACAACAACAAGAGAGTGAAAAAGAAGGGAGATGTGACAAAGCAGTGAGGAGGGCACTTCTGACTCAACTGCAGAGCAAGTGACACTGAGTACTCTCCGAACCGAACGCATTGCTAATAGCTTTCCATCTCTTTTGTTTACATTACATCCAGTCATCATGGTGGCGGCAATATTTTCGTTGCCGCAACGACAGTCGTTAGCCGAACTCCATTATTTAATGGCGGGAAACAAATTGCGTAATTACTCAATGAACAAAGTGTTTGTACAAGTTGTTTTTGATGCAGTTTAAACACCGGTCATCATTACTTTGCCATCTAAAATAATAAACACCAGAAAAGAGTTACTGAAACCTTTAGGCAGCAGTGAACCTATAAGTAAAACGTATACCTTAGCAACTGCTTCAGCTAGTGATAATGCTGTTGTCACCAACTTTTTAAACTGAAAAATAGTCCGCTTTGCCGACGGAAGCTATGTTTGCACTTATCTCCAATGAACCGCAGCGTTTCCTGTGAAAAAATCTATTTGGACTAAAAAAAGAAGGTTGTGCAGAAAGTGCATATTTCCACAGATGAATCAAGAGTGAACGCCAAGTCAGGCGCTAGTTAGGCTTTTATGGCAGGCCTGCGCCGCGCCAGCACAAATCGGGTTGGGGCAGAGTTGCGGTTTGTTCAGCGGAAAGTCGGTTTCTTCTGCTTAGGACTGCTTGGCTTGCTGGGAAGGTGCTGGTACTGCTGGGGAAGGTGCTGGTACTGCTTCTGCTGGTAGACAAGACGACGACAATGATGATCTGCTGCTGGAAACTACGGCCGCACTGCGAGGGCCAAAAACTGCTGCTGGACAGAGTGACGGTCTGCTAGTGAGCTAGTCAGCTTGTCAGCTGTTTAATGGGGAGAAAGAGAGGGCTTATATACAGGAGGGGAAAAGACGAGAAGGAAAGAGAAACGGGAAAAGACAATACTCACGGGCATGGCTGGAGTTGAACAGAGTGTGACAAGAATCAGGGTTGACAAAAAGAGTGTGTGTGCATGCCGCGAGTGTGAGTGTAACGTGAAGAAGAAGTGAGTAAGAAATTGATAAGGGAGCAGACATGCGACACTTCCATCATTAGGTCCTTCAAGTGCTTTTTCTCTGACATTTGTTCATTTGCTTTATTTTGATTGTCTCTAGCTTATGATTGTCTGATACTATTAGAAAAACGTTCTATTACTTTTAGTTTACAACTCTGGTCATGTAACTATGCCTCTTTTGCCCTAGTAAACCAATACAAATATGAGTTGTTGCTTTGCTACTGCATCGTTTGACAGAGAGGGCCACCGAAAAGTGGTTACAGTGATTTACTGTTCAGTTGATTTCTCAGAAAGGAGCAATGCCAGATGTGGCTTTGAACACTTTCTGTTACCACGTCCGTTACTGCTCCTGTCAAAACAAGCCGCTAAGGCCTTTATTCTTCTTCTTTAGCTGCTAAATTGACAATTCTTGAAACTTGTTCTCAGCCAGTGCTGCCAACGGCTGCCATGTTTTGTCAGTACACCACAGACTAGCGAGAACAACAGCACAAATAGCAACAATTATCTGCTTGACCCAGTCTTTCAGCGTCTTGCCAGCAACCCCAGTTTCGATTGTTTGGCTGCAGTTTTAATTGAGCTTCTTCTTGGCTTTTCTATTCTACTCTGTCAAAAACTTTAAGCGAATTAATTCCATATGATTTTCTACATTTACATTTATGATTCTATAAATTACATCTTTCATGATATCTAAACACGGTTTTACTTAAAAGCAATGCTAACTGTTATCCATCAATTGGTTTTAAACTTAAGTTGATTTGCCCAACAAAAGTAATTATTAAAGCCTTTTAAAATTTTTGTGCAAATCCCTATTTAAGTTTTATATGATTTTTTGCTTTTACATTTATGGTTCTAGAAATTACATTATTAATGATATCGCACCGCAATTTTATTTGAATGCAACGCTATCTAGCATTTACCTATTGGTGTTAAGTTTAAGTTGACTGGACTATTGAAAGTATTTTTACTGATGGATTTTCCAAATGACATTGAACAGAACTTTTTAAAAATATTTCACAAACTAATCAGCCAAGTAAACCCAAAATGTTGAAGGCTGGTGTCATTTGGTTGATTGGCACCGATGGCTTGGGGCACAACTCGCAAGCTCGTTGTGCTCCAAGCCGTCGGTGCCGATAAACCAAATGACAACAGTCAATGTTTAAAAATTTAAAAAAACTAAAGAGTGCGTGGCGCAAAACGACACTTACACCCTTGTCTGCTTTGTTTAAAGTTTTAAAATGCACTGTTTCAACAAACGCAGCACTGTTCTGTTTAATGACAATCAGTAACCGAAAAATGCTCGCTGCACATGGAATGATCTGGAAATGAAATAGCAAAGTAGGCTGTTTGTCGGCTTGACTAATATTAGAAGTGTAAACAATATTAAAATAAAAGCCAGAAACAAGGGCCAAAATAGAAAATATAAATAATAAATAAATAAATAAATACAACGAATGAGATGATAATATCACTTGCCGATTCATGTGACACTACTTATCATCCTCCATTCACTGTTCAGTTGTGAATCTTTATGGCCGTTTCGTGGAAAATGTTTTTTGAAAGCTCCGTCATCTTGATCTCGCGATCCAAACCTATCCACAACTTAGGCACGTAGGTGTGTGTGGCTGAATCTAAAAAAGAAGGTTAAAAGTTGGCAAAAATCTTTCAAAAAGAGCGCGCTTACAGCTGACAGCGGGATCGTTTTTTTTAAAGATCTGTTTCTTCTCGTTGGTGATGTAGGTGACTTGGTCTGCAACGAGAGCAAACTTGTACTAGAAAAAACGGCCACAAAAGCAAATCAGAAACAATCAGCGGTTAATACAAAGTAAACAAGAACCATTACCTTTTTAAACTCCTGATCAGAAACGTCAAGTTTCTTTCGAATTTTCTCCTTCACAGTGACAAATGACTCTTTCTGAAAAACAACAAACAGTGACAGTGAATTTCAACATAAATATCAAAAGAATGAATCACCAGTGCCAACACTTACATCTTTCACCTTGATCAAAAATGGCACGCCAAAGGTTCGGTAGCAATTCTTCTCAAAGTGAATCAACGGAAGTAGAAACTCATTCGGCTCTATCTTCACCTGGTCGTAAGGGATTTCATCCACGCGGTAACTTAAGTATTTATTCGGATTTATGCTCTCGAATTTGGTATCATCAAAGATGACGCGGTTGATCTTGCAACGGTAAATCTCAAGCAGTCGCCGATGTGGGGAAATGATCTTCACTTTAGTCTTTTTCACCGCTTCCTGCATCAGTTCAGTGATAGTGCCTGCCTTGTTTAGAAGCAGTTCCAGCTTCTTAAGTGCAAAAGCAAAAAATAGATTAAAAAGTGAAATTCATCTTTCCATTATTCACTCTTTCTATTACCTCTTGTTTCAAATTAGTGTTGGCATATGTGCACGTGAAAAGCCTTTTGTTCTCCATCTCGTAGATGCTAATGTCGAGCTAGAATGGTAAAAAAGAACACACAAAGTCAGTTAGAGCAAAACAGTTAAACACCAGAAAAAAGCAGTCAAACTCCAGTTCAATCACTTACATGCTGAAAGTAAAGCTTCTTCGCTTGGCGATGCTTAGCNCACGTGAAAAGCCTTTTGTTCTCCATCTCGTAGATGCTAATGTCGAGCTAGAATGGTAAAAAAGAACACACAAAGTCAGTTAGAGCAAAACAGTTAAACACCAGAAAAAAGCAGTCAAACTCCAGTTCAATCACTTACATGCTGAAAGTAAAGCTTCTTCGCTTGGCGATGCTTAGCGTACAGCAAAATGTCTTCGAGGGTGCCGTCGTAGCTGCAGGCTAACGGTTCACCCGGCCCGTCGCTGTAGGTACTTTGCTTCTTGAAAAACTGCAATTTCAACGGGTCGGCGCCGNAGTGTTGGCATATGTACACGTGAAAAGCCTTTTGTTCTCCATCTCGTAGATGCTAATGTCGAGCTAGAATGGTAAAAAAGAACACACAAAGTCAGTTAGAGCAAAACAGTTAAACACCAGAAAAAAAGCAGTCAAACTTCAGTTCAATCACTTACATGCTGAAAGTAAAGCTTCTTCGCTTGGCGATGCTTAGCGTACAGCAAAATGTCTTCGAGGGTGCCGTCGTAGCTGCAGGCTAACGGTTCACCCGGCCCGTCGCTGTAGGTACTTTGCTTCTTGAAAAACTGCAATTTCAACGGGTCGGCGCCGAGACGCATGGCCACCGCCTTTGCAATTTGGCTGTACTTCATCTTCATTGACAGCTCCAGAGAGAAGCCCGGGTCGTTGGGAACGTTCTTGTCAGCGAAAAGCACCTCCACGCGACTCAACATGTCGTGGAAGTACTCGAGCAAACCAGAGGGGCCGTCCTTTGGCGGGTTCAGGTCACCGCGTNGCCTTTGCAATTTGGCTGTACTTCATCTTCATTGACAGCTCCAGGGAGAAGCCCGGGTCGTTGGGAACGTTCTTGTCGGCGAAGAGCACCTCCACGCGACTCAGCATGTCTTGGAAGTACTCGAGAAAGCCAGAGGGGCCGTCCTTTGGCGGGTTCAGGTCACCGCGTTCAAAGACGATAATGTCGCCGTCCATCAGGTTGATGATGGCCTTCTCTAGCGTCGTTTTAAAGTTGATCATCGGGCGGACGTTGTCGTAGTGCACCTCTTCATAGACTTTCAGCGGAGTGCCCACCTGCAGGCATGCCTTCTCCCACATCATCTCGAAAAGGTCGGCCACTTTGGCGCGGCGTTGAACGTGCGCCAGGCCGCAGTAGGTGAGAAAGCGGCTTCTGATGTCGTAGTATTTGAAGAAGATGAGAACGTGCACTGAAAAGGGAAAAGAGATTAGTAAATGGTTGAGCAAAAAAAGCAAAATTTCAAACAGAAATAAAACACCCACCACTTTTCTCCGAGATGGGCAGCACCGGGACGGGCACCCTCGGCGGCGCCGTCTCCACAAAGAGCGCATCGCCGCTTTTGGAATCGAGGAAGTTGGCCACCGTTTTGGCAATGTCCTGGACGCGCATCGGCCGATTTGAGTAGCTGCTGCGCTTACGAAAGGGCCACAGGCGAATGCTGCCCACTGGGTAGCCCATCTGCTGGGCGACAGTGGCTACTGCCTCGCTGTAGCTGGCCGATTTGGCCAACTTCAGGATGACACAGGGCGACCGTTTACCAGCGCTGACCAGGTCGGCGCCCTTGTGCGTCATCAGGGCGCTCTCGGTGTAGACCTTCACGCTGCGGTAGAGGTGCTCTTCCTGGCGCTCTTTCTGACGCAGCGCCTTCTGCCGTTTTGCCTCTTGCATCCGCTCAAACAGCTGCTCTTCAATGTCCGCCGCAGTCACCGGGGCGAGGACGTCAGCTAAAGGGAAGCCGGGAAAACAAGTTAGCACAAAGAAATACTTTAAAATTTAGTGGTACTCTCACCGAGCTCACTGTCGCGAATGTAGACCAACATGTAAGCGCTGGTGGAGAGCATCACCGTGCTTTCATGTATTCCGCCGCCCCCGTAGTTGGCGTCGATGGCGTCCTCCTTTTCACAGCTGCTGACGACGTCGTCGTTGAATTTGCACCACTTTCCGTCTCCTTTTGGGTTGATGAAGACCACGTAGTGGCCGCCATGGGAACCGCCGCTGTGCACCAGCACCGCGTGCAGAGTGTAATCGGCCGGCATCGACTCCGGCTTTAAGAGAAACTTGTCCAGATTGAGCTTCTCGGGAAACTCGCAGCTGTAGAGGAGAAACGAGACAAAGTCATTTTATTTAAAACGACTTCATTTTTGTATCTCTCTCACCGGTCGTTAATCTTCACTTTTCTGCCCGTAGCCGGGTCGTACTGAATGCGAAGGAGGTGCAGGTGCAGCACTGGCGGAAATGACTCAAAGGTGACGCCCTTCTCTGCCTTCTGCAGGCCGAAGACGCCGGCGTCATACTTGTTCTCGCCATCGAGCAGTTCCGTTTGGGTGTACTCTACAAAAGACTCGTAGATGTCCTTTTTGTCCTTCACGTTCAGCTGAATGTCGTAGAAGGGCTCGGTGCGGGAGGAGCTGAAGTCGACGTGCTTGCAACGGATGAAGGACTGTGATTTAAAGGAGGGAAAATGGTAAGTTGGCAATTTGACAAAGTATCAAGTATGTAGTCACTGACAAACATCTTTCCCTGAAAGAGACGAGGAATGGTGCCCTCCACAACGGTTCCCTTCATTTTGTTCTCCATGTTGTTGAAGAGCACCCGACAGAGCTCTTGCACGTCGTGCTGTCGAAACGAGTCGACCCGCTGCCAGCCAAAGGACTTGGTCAGCTTCTTTGTGCCCACAGGCTGATCGCTAAACTGCAGTTCGTAGAAGACGTGCTGCAGGGCCAGGGCAACGCTTTTCTTGCAGTTTTCACCCTCTGTGGGCATCTGGTACACTGCCTTGCGCAGTTTGCCAGTGAAGTAGAGCGTTTGCAGGAGGGAGTTCATGTAGCAGGTGGCGCCCTGGTTCTTCAGTCCCA